GAGAAATATAGGAAGCAAGCGCAGTGGCATTCATTTTTGCAGTATTGCAGCGAGCGAAATATTTTTGAAGTTTGCACTGGTCTACATCACAACCGTGGGAATAATACACACACCGTCAATGAAGCCAGAAGATTATGCTCCTTTGGAAAATGGTCAATCTATCACTTGCCATGCTCACATGCCATGAAGTGCTTTCAACATACAGGTTTCGCGACAACGAGGTATGTTGATGAAGAATATAGTGTTGCTGCATACTTAAACACCTATAGTGGACAGTTGCAGCCAGTGGGTGCTGATCATTATTGGCCATCGGAACCATTTAAAATGGTGTGTAACAAGGACGTGCATCAACGACAAATGCAAAAAGAACGCGTATACGGAACCAAATAGATGTTGGTGATACCGTTTATGCGCATAACTGTGGCATATGTTCCCAAACAGGACACGACCGCTATAAATGTCCTTCAGCTGGTTTGGGAAGCGGTGGTAATTCAGCACCAGGTGGCAGTTCATCCAACGTGCCCAATTATCAAGGATAAATGTAGTATTTTATTGGAGTAATTTTGTTGTACTAAATTTATGTAAATGTTCAGGTTGCAAAATGTATGAAATAAAATTATGTTTCCAATGGGGTTAAATCTAATTGTTATTTAGAATTAAAGATTCAATACAACAGTTTAACATACAACCCAAAGAATATAATTTTGTTTTCATTCGCCATTATCGTCGCTGTCTGGCAGTATTTCATTGTCACCGTCTTCATCTTATTCGTCAACATCTTGTACGCACCCTTCGGTACCAAGGGCATCGTAATCTAGGCCCCAGTTGACACACATTTCTCGTATTTCATCGCTATCATCAATAAGACCACTTGTTTGATTTCTACAATAATATGGGACTCCTATGTCCAATGTTTGTGGTAAAAACTTAGGTAGTCCCTCCTAGTCGACAACTGTTGGGAAAACATGATACTCATTGTCTCTATACAATTTTTCATTTTCTAATATATCCCAGTACTGATCCTCCGTTCCTTCTAGGTAGTTAAGATCATCGATAGCATGATGAACAACAAGTGCCTTTTCCATCTCTAGAATCTCCTTCATCAAATGCCGAATCACTTCTGGTTTATGTTTGTGTGTGTTTGTTTGGAAGGTTGAAGATAGTGCTTATGGTACAACAAGCCCATGCCAGTGACATAGTACTTCATAATCACACCGTTTTGTGTATAGGGGAACCCATTGTAGTTTTTCGCCCCAAACTCGCATACCTTCAGGCTTTGTAGAATGCGCTTCGCCCTCAATAATATGCCCTGCAACTTTTAGATCAGTATGTATATTGATAGGCTTATTTTCCAAGGGACGCAGAACACCATACCACTTGTCATCAACCAAATCAGTATAGCAACCTAGCATATTTTTTTCAAGGTAGGGATCAATTGTGTTATGACGCGATCCATTTGGATCTTTTAAACTACCTTCACCTTTTTGCTTCTTCGTAAACCACTTATTAAATGTTAGTGGCATTTCTGAATTGAATGCTGTTCTGGTTCTTCAAATGGTATTTGAATATTGATCTCTTGGTTCAAGTTAAGAAGAACTAAGCTGCATGTCGACCTGTATAAATGCGAAACATGGTGCCTCACCAATATGCGCTATGTGTATTGTCATGTTGACCTGAAAAAGCTGTCAACCTGAAAAAGTTGTTGACATGAAATGTTAGACCCACTTGTACCCCAATGAATCATTATCATGCAAAAAATAACAACTTACCAATATGCGCTATGTGTATTGTCATGTCGACCTGAAAAAGTTGTTGACATGAAATGCTGGGCCCACTTGTACCCAAATGAATCATTATCACGCGAAACATAGCGCCTCACCAATATGCGCTATGTGTATTGTCATGTCGACATGAAAAAGCTGTCGGACTGAAAAAGCTGATGACCTGAAATGCTGGACCAACATGTACACGAAAGAATCATTATCACGCGAAATTTAGCGCCTCACAAATATGCGCTACGTAACCTAAAATCACTCTTAGCTGCCTCGCACATTTCAATTATTATTTGCGTGGTAACAAAACGAATAGAAAGACTTTCCATTAATTTTCAATTTTCGAGCATTACGACATATTTGGACGCAATTACGTACCAAGGTGTTACTATGGCAAACATGCGATTTTGAAGCCGTGTTGGTCAAATTGCAATCTGGGGCACGAACGTTGGATGTGTAAAAAAGTTGTAATTTATTATTCTTGGAAGAAATATTTGTTAATACTTTTTATATAACATGTTAATTAATAGTCTTGTGTTATTCTCTCAGTGGTAGGACGAAAAGAAATATGGTTTTGATGAATGGTATGATGAACCCATTAATCAGGAATACTACAAATCATGTTTGCTAAACATTTGGAATATGACCGGTGAATATGAACTCCAGATCGTGAAACTACAAGAACAACTTGCGGCATTGCAAGAGAAACTAAAAGAGGCAGAAGAAGAAAAAAAAATAGGATAGAGGAGAAATTTATGTGGTTGAAGCACAAAATAATGGACGATAGTGACTTAACAAATACATTGATACGCTGTGTGTAGTATTTTATTTTTATGCTGTACGTGTCATGTATTATCTTTAATTTGTAACGAATTTAAATTTTATGTTAAGCTGTCATTTTTTGTTGTGTTGAAGTGTTAAACTAATAAATATCTCGAGAAATAAAAATTTGTGCGCAAATTATGTAAAACATAAATAATGTGGTTATTATATATTTAATGTCATATATACGAATAATAGTAAATGTCAATGTGTCCCACAACCTGTATGCTTTAAAGCATTGGCTGGCCTGAGGCGCATCCCATCCCGCTCGGCTACGCTATCAGGATCATCCTCATCACGTCGCCTCTTTATCGGAGGATGCGCTGCAGCGTGATCATCGGTACCGCTGGCAGACTCGGTAGAAGCGGCCGTTGGGCCGGCAGTAACCTACAGAATAATTAGATATTTTACTATATGAAATAATAATTAATAATGTACGTATTAGGAATTCTTTTTAAATGGCCATACCGTGGTCTCAGCGGGCTCCTGAATAAGATCATCCGTCTCTGGCATCTCAGTATCGCACAATGCGGCCTCCGTGACGGGCAACGCCGATGTCTTTAAAAAATATTAAACACTTTAGATATTACTGACTAATCAATGAGATAAAAACAAGTAGAAATATCAGTAATACAAACAAATCTGGGTATGAGTAGCACCACAAGGATCTATCGGAACATCGAGGTGCACTGGAGTAGATGAAGTATGTGCTAGATCCTCAGCATCCCTCGGTGATGAGCCATAACTCAGTCATCGCCCACTATGCACCTCTCGTGTCGGACGATAATCAACAACCGTCTATGGCTCTGGAGGATCAGAAAAATACTGATCCCACTCCTGTCGCGTAATGGCTGTGACCGCGATTAATAATGGAGCTGACAGGGTCACATGCAAAGTCCCTGGCGACAACTGAAGGCTGAATGATGGCATGTCATGATGAGCATCGTGTTTCTCAGGGTGGTCACCCGACTGATCATCTCTAATATCGTCCATGGGTGACTCAACGCCCCCTTACTGGGGACCCCATCCTCGCCGACCACCACGACCTCGTAGGGCACCCCTTCCTCTCTGCCCATGCCTGCCACGTCTACCACGTTCAGGCTCCACTGGTGGCCCATGATGGTACTCCTTTGGCGGCACATAGGCAGCCCCTCTTATCCTAAACACTCATCATCTCGGGCACGCCTCAATGTCTGGGCAGCCAGATCTGTAACCTGCTGGCCATACTCGTGCAAAGCTGCCGCTCCCTCGGCGGTATGCTGCAGCATCTGCAGTCCCAACCGGTAGAACTGATGTAAGCCAATAGCCTGCATAATATGTAAAATATTAATTACAGAAGGATAATTTAACGTTATAAGTAAGTGTAACAAGTAACATACCAGTGCCTCAGGCCTCCCGGCATATGGAATGTACCGACCACCAGTGCGATGAACGGGATTCCCGACGAGAAGTCGGGTAACGCTGCGATACCAACCCATATACTCATGCTCGCCATCCGTACACTCAGATGCAAGGGGTGGAGGAATCAGGTCATACCTCTGATCCCAAACCTCAATCTAGGCCTCTAGCCAGGCCAAGTATGTCTGGTCAACCCTAGAGCGATCATCTTGCTGGTAATGTGTCCTAATCCAAGTGGGCGGAATAGGTACAAGCTATGGTCGACCAAACTGGCGAAGGACTCGCTCCGTGGCATTATGCTCGACAATATCGAGACATGTCAATCGGACGGAAAAACTCCACATAGCTCGGCCGTGGGAGCAATAATTGGGCAAACCAGCTATGAGCGCGTCGCTATATGGCCTCCATAAGAACTATTAATTAAACACAAGAATCGTGAGTAAACGCAACACATATAAAGACAGGCCAAGTAAACTTAAGTATACATGTACCTGCATGCCTTCAAGCAAATCCAACAAATCCCTGTAATAGGGGAGCTGATGTCAAGCCTCGAACTTGTGTCCGTAGCCTCGCCTATCAACCCACCTCCAAGCTAAGGGGAGAAACGGTGAAGGTGGTGCATCCGGAGCGATGGGTGGTAGAGGTGGCTGGAACTGCAGGAACCGCTCCCAAGCCCAAACCTAATATAGATAGTGGATGTAAAATTTAAGGTATTGTTTTACTATGTGTGTTATAATCATGAAAAGAATTGACTATGTTTTTACTTGCAGCAACGGTAAAAATCCGGCAAATTCTCTCTGGGTGCCCATGCTAGCCCGACATATCTGCCTATACAGGTAACCTAGCACAACTGCACCCTAGCTGTAACTGGGTAAATCATCTAGCCACTCAAGATGATGTAGAAATCTCAAGCTGACTAGGTTTCCCGAAGTGTTCGGGAATAGTACACCACCAAACATCAATAGCAGCAACAATCTCGTGTGCCGATCGATAACCTCCGGTGGTGAATCATCCGTAATCTCCGCATCCATCGCCTCCAGATGCAAACGACTGGCCCCACTCAATGTAGTCTCCTCTGCTGGCTGGAAACCGATGAGCATGCAGGTAATACAATCCTCTATAGTCTCTAAGAGCATGCAGGTAAGCTACAGGTAATCCATAAACCAGTAGCCTGAAGAGAACCTCCACGTCCTCAAGCGTGATGGTAGCCTCGCCGATGGGTAGATGAAATGTGTGCGTCTCTGGTCGCCACCGCTCTATCATAGCCGTGATCAACGCCCAATGGAACTGCGACCGACCGATCTCTATGATCCTGTAGAAACCCGTATCCTGAAGGCGTCTAACTATACAGGGATGTAGTGGGTGGTCCCTAATGAACTCCCACATATCGTCTATACTTCTGGGGCAGAATGTCTGGGACAAACACTGCCCATCCCATATGTATGAAGACCTATGGTTGGCCTGTATCAATAGTCGTTCTAGAGATGCAGGTCCGGGATGCACAGGGGGAACTTCCATGACGATGTTTGTAAATTGAAAATATTAATTGAAGTATTTTTCTTTTTAATTGCTTAACATCTTTAAGTATATTGCAATATCTTTTATATTAATATTTAATCGATATTTTTACTATATTGTTACTTAGGTTGATACATTTTCTATATTATAATTTTATATGTTAATTTATATGTTAGTTTATTATTTTATATGTTAGTTTATTATTTTATATGTTTCTTTCTTATTCACCTATTTTTGGGTATAATAGAATTAAATAATTAAGTTTTATATGAATCAATGATTTAATTAATAAGTATTCATATATAAATAATTAGTTTGACAAATATTGTTGTTTTTATGTTATTTTCTTACATTTGTTGAATAGAATTTGAGAGAGTTTGTGTTTGAACTATCATCTTTTTTCAGATATTTTTTGGGGTTAACATATAATTAAATAATTAATTTCAATAACTACAAAGATACTACGCTAAAGGACCTACATTGTACTACGCTAAAGGGCACTACATTATAATTACGAGTACTACATTAAAATTATGGGCACAACATTACACTAAAGGGAACTAAATAACACTAATTATTCATAAAATAATAATTTATCTATTTTACTAATCTTTTAGCACATAAATAATCAAATCCGGATAACAAAAAACAAATTAATTTAATCACAAAATAATCATGAAAATACATATACCACAGTAAACAATAACTAATAAATATTTTTTATAACAACTAATAATATTAATTATTCATAGAATAACAATTTCTCTACTTTACTAATTGTTTTAGCACAATAATAATCTAATACGGATAAAAAAATAACAAATTAATTATATCGAAAAAACAATCACGAAAGAACATATATCACAGTAAAAAATAACTAATAGTCATTTTTTATACATGAGTTTTAACAAAAAATAAGTCGGAATACCTCGATTTTAAATTTTTTGAAAGGTGAAGATTTGATGATTTGGGGACCGAAACGAGCAATCCATTACGCGATAACGCCTTAGATCCGATGTAAGCTTGCTACAATACCGAGAATCTACACTTTTTGTGGGATCGGTGGGCTCCAATGGAGTTTGTTTGCGTTAAAAATGGAGGGGTACCGCTGGGAATTAAAAATGGGGGCTGCTGGTTCACGTCTGGTGGGGGAAGGAGATGACACGGTTTTTTATATAGATATAACGCGCATATATAAGGCGCTATACTATAGCGCCTTATATATGCGCGCTATACCTCCCGCCCATTTTAAGTACAAATATAGCGCGGTGAATAACCACGCTATATATAAAATGGTGCCCAATTATTTTTAACCTATTTATATCTCTTGAGTCCAAATGAACCATACTTTGGTTCCGGACTCTATTTGCGTCGACCCTCCCTTCCTAGTTCCTAGCCGCCACACTTGTTCCTCTTCTTCCGACCTCTCGTTCACTAAAGTTCCAACTCTCCTCTACCCTTTATTATTCTCAACCTCCTTTCCACTGTAGCCCACCACCTTGTCCCACCTAATAACTCTTCATCTCTAGAAAACCAACCACCTTCTCCAGCTTTCATACACTCACATTCTTACCGCCATGGATGATCGTTACATCTTCTTCCTTCACATAAATTCAATCAATCTTTAACAATCAATGAAACACTACAATCTACAAAGACCCATCAATAGACATTTAGCCAGCCACCATTAAAACCCCGAAAAATACGCAAAAAGAAAACTCATATTATACAGTATGTAGCAACTATACAATCTATACTCACTATATACTCTAATTGTACACTGTGTTGCTCCCACCATCTTTGTATATTAAAATATTAAATATATATTTATTATATATTTAGTGTATACTCACTAAATATGCACTGAGTATGCTATGATTATACATTGTACACTAAGGATAAAAGTAGAATACAACAAGATACTGGGATACAGTAGATACAGTTGGATAATGCCTCTCCTTTAACAGAAAAATGCCTGAATTTGCTACTTCAATCAACACCAATACCCTAAGCCCAAACCCTACCCCAAACCCACGCTTGAGAGCTATGGCGATAAGCGATTTTGAGTCGACAAGAAGGCAATTTTCATACAGTCATTCTCACCATCCATACAGCCCCCTACAACATCTATAAACCCTAATTCAATCCAAAACTACACAAAATTACTACAACCCAATGCATTAAATGCTTTCCTACAACTATTGCCCCACGTAAACCTAAAACCTATGAAGTATCTTCATGGAGAACCTCTTGTGCGATGGAAAAAATAAAAGTTAGACAATCTATTGCCCAACAAGGATTACAACTTGCAGTTCTTGGGAAGTTTTCATATGAGAAACATGTTATTCAAGAATTGGGTATTCTAATTCAATGTAAGTTAAAAGGCCCCTGTTCGATTGGATTGATAGAGGATACATACGTACTCATCAAACTCTCATTCATGGAGGAATATATTCACTTACTATCAAAGCTTGCATTCTACTTGAAAGCTCAAGGAGATATGTGGAAGATGAGATGCATTAAGTGGAGTCCATGGTGGAAGTCTGAAGAGGAGACTCCTATTGCCATTGTTTGGAATTCTTTTCTGGATTTTCCTCCTAACTTCTTTGGCAAGGAGTTTATTTTTTAATTAGCTAATGTAATGGGTAGACCTTTGCATGCTGATATGGCTACACAGAATAGTACAAGGCCTAGTTGTGCTAAGATTAAAGTAAAAGTGAATTTGTTATCTAATTTTCCTCAAAGAATTATGATCATATAAGAGGAAGATGAAACTGGGTCAGAAGAATCAAAATGGATTAAAATCAAGTATGATTACATGTCCAAATATTGTAGAACTTATATGAAACAAGGTCACAAGGAGAATGAATGCTAGATCATTCATCCTGAGCTCATGCAGGTAGATCAACCAATAATTGATAAAGGAAAGGAGAAGGATGTTGTGGGAACATCTGCAGCCTTAACTAAGGTATTGTCCAGTAGTAAAGTTGTGGGAAAGCCAATTCAAAATCCCGCAAAATAAGAATATATGCAAAGACGTCAGAGTAAATATCAAATAGATAAAAGGGGATACATAACAATGCAACTGGGAAAGAGGTGGAAAATGTGACTGAAAAGGTCAATGATACTGGGATTTCAATGGGCAATGCTTTTGATGCCCTAGATGCTGATAGGGAAAATAATAATGCTTTGATGTTATATGAGGACTAGGTGAAGGGAGAAGTGCAGAAAGCACCTGAACTTAAAATGAAGGATCCAGGAAATACTAGCCCTAATCCTAAGGAAAAAGGGATTCAAATTGCGGTAGTGGAGAAGAGTCCTAATCCTATGTCTTCTAGGATTGGGGAGGTTACTAAAAAGAAAAGATTGTTGATTGGGTATCTATTAATTTTGGCACACCTAAAGAAGTTCTTAATGTGAATTAAAATCAGTCGTTCTAGGAGATTCCTTCACAAACTTTTGACAACTCTAAAAAGGGATCAAGGTCCAAGACCAAGGATAATGCTAGTGTTCGTTGGAGTGATGAAGTGGAGACTATGGAGGAGAGTAATGATGAAAAAATTTCACACAATAGCTCTGTCAAAGCTGGAGTTAATCAGGAGAAGCAAGCTAGTGAACAAGTTGCACCTATAGCTACCCGATCGGTCATTTTGAGTGTTTCCTTCCTTTCAGTGGTTTGAGGTCTTGAATAGATTCATATGATATATTACGACTTGCGTGTATGATTTCTTTTGATGTTCGAGAGGTTCGAAATTGATGTGGAAGAGAAGTTTCATTTTTGGAAGCTTTAAGTTGAAGAGTTGACCAAGGTTTGAATTTTGTGTAAACGGTCTTGGATTCACATTTTGATGGTTTCAATAGGTTCTTATAGTTATTTTGGACTTAGAAAAATGCTCGGATTCGTATTTGGATTTCTAGAAGGTTTTGGCTTTATTTGACAACAATTGACAATTTGAAGGTTTTGAAAGTTCATAGGTTTGACCAGAAGTTGACTTCGATGATATCAGGTTTGAGTTGTTATTTTGGGAGTTGGAATAGGTTCTTTATGTCATTTGGAACATCTGCGCAAAATTTGGGGTCATTCCAAGTTATTTAAACGAGTTACGGCACAAGTTTGTAATTTAGAAATTTGAAATAGTTCATTAAGATTGAATTGAGGTGCGATTCATGGTTTTGATATTATTTTGTGTGATTCAAGGCCTCGAGTAGGTCCTTGTTATTTTTTGGTATGTGTTGGTATGTTCAGACGGGGTCCTGAGGGACTTAGGTGTGTTTCGGGGTAGTTTCAGACCATTTTCCCCTAGTTGTTGATTTCTGGTTTCTCTGATTTTTCTGGTGCTGAGAGTGTTCTTCGCGATAACGTGAAGAGGGCTGTGATCGCGAATTGTTCTGGGTGTTGGCTGGACGTTCTTCTTCGCATTCGCGATACTGGAGTCATGTTCGTTGAGGCTTTAAGCCTTTGTATTCGCATATGGGACCACACATTCACATAGTTTTGAGTTAGGTTAGGAATGCCAGGTTGGTTGACCTTCGTGTTCACGAGACAACACGTAGGAGTCTTCGAGGCTTCTATTCAGCGGAATGCATATACTACTATTCGTGATGCCATGCACCGTGATCGCTTGCTTGGGGCCGTGTACACGTAGGAGTCTTTGAGGCATCTGAAGTTTTGTGCTTCATGATCACAAAGAGTTTACCTGGGAAGCGCATATAAGATGTTATTTTCGGACTTGGAACTCATTTTACCACATTTCGAGATTGGGAGCTCGAATTGAGGAGATTTTTGTGCAATTTTCACCCACTTGGATTGGATAAGTGTTCTTGACTCAGTTTTGATTATTATTCATGATTCTATCTTTGATTTTGGCATTTGATTGGTGAATCTAAAAGAGAAATTGGGGGTTTTTGCCAAAAACTTTTCTATAGTGAATAATTAGGCTTTGAACATTGATTCAGAGTCAAATTTGGATGAAACTTGTATGGTTGAACTCGTATTCAAA